AAAGCAAAGGACATACTGCATCAGAATTTTAAGGTGAAGGATCTAGGGGAACTCAAATACTTTCTAGGTATTGAGGTTCTAAGATCTAAAGGTGGAGTGCTGCTGAATCAAAGGAAGTACATATTGGAGCTGATATCAGAAATGGGGCTGAGTGGTGCCAAACCAGCTAGCACACCATTGGAAGTGAATTCCAAGTTGACAACAATGGAATATGATCAGGCAAATGGGATCACAGGGGATCCACTTTTGCAGAATGCTGGTGCTTATCAGAGGTTAGTAGGAAGGCTCTTATATGTTACCATTACCAGGCCAGACATCAATTATGCAGTGCAGGCATTGGGTCAGTTTATGCAATCACCAAAAAGGTCTCATTGGGATGCTGCTTTAAGAGTTGTAAGATATTTAAAAATGGCTCCTGGACAAGGGATTTTGATGAAGTCTGACTATGCAGAAACTCTCACTTGTTGGTGTGATTCTGACTAGGCAGCATGTCTATATACTAGAAGGCCAGTTACTGGATATGTCATCAAATTTGGAGATTCAATGATTTCTTGGAAATCAAAGAAACAACAGACTGTTTCAAGAAGCTCAGCTGAGGCAGAATACAGGAGTATGGTAGCCAATATTGCTGAGGTGACATGGTTACTTGGTCTATTCAAGGAGTTGGGTGTAGACATAACTCAACCATTCACAATATATAGTGATAGTAAGTGAACAACTCAACTTGCAGCAATCCCTGTGCTTCATGAAAGAACAAAGCACATAGAGATTGATTGTCATTTTATTCGAGACAAGATCAAGGAAGGAACAGTTAAGGCAGTACATGTTAATACTAAGGAGCAACAGGCAGACCTACTAACTAAAGCTTTGGGAACAACTCAACATATCCATCTTCTTGGCAAGCTGGGAGTGTTCAACATTTTACACCCTCCAGCTTGAGGGGGCATATTGTAATGTCACATGATTTGCACGTGACTAGTTAGTTTGTTAGTTGAGCTGTTAAGTTGATTAGTTAGATAGCTAATGGTAGTTATAGATATTAATGTAAGTAAAGGGCGGATTAGTCTTTTTACACTTTACCAGTTTTTCTTTTAGCTCCTTCTGTATATAACGACATAGTGTATTCAATAGAACAGTGGCTTGAACATTTCACTCAAGCACCGACTTTCTTCTTCACATTTCTTCTAGATTCTTCCACCATTGGAGTTCCTTGTAGAGCTCTGTATTTGAGCATGGTATCAGAGCAGTGGATCTAGATCAAGTCACGCTAGATCTCTAAAGTCATTTTTCTATTCCGTCATTGTTTAACCAAAATTTGTTGAAGCTTGTTGTTTTTCAGTCATGCCGGAATCAAATTCGTCCGTGCCTGCGTCTGGTTCATCTGTGCCGGAAATTGTAACAATTGACCACAATCATCCACTATCAATGGGACCTTCCGATAATCCTAGCTCACTCACAATACCGGTGAAGCTCACAGGCTCGGAGAACTATGGGCTTTGGAGTAGATCTATGAGAATAGCACTCTTAGGGAAGAAGAAATTAGGCTTCATTAATGGTAGATGCAGCAGAAATGCGTATGAAGAAGAGCTGCTTGAACAGTGGGAGACATGCAACGCCATTGTTCTCTCATAGATCATGAATAATGTGGCACCGGAGCTTCTAGGTGGAGTTGTATATGCGTCTGATGCATATCAGGTATGGGAAGATCTGAGAGAGAGATTTAATAAGGTGAATCGTGTTAGGATTTTTCAGTTGCACCGTGAAATTGCTACATTATCTCAAGGAACAAATTTTGTTTCAGTGTATTTTTCAAAATTGAAGGAATTATGGCATGAGTATGATGTTTTGGTTCCATTTCCTAATTGCTGTGAAAAATCGAAAGAACATGCAGAAAATTTACATCAACAAAGAGTTATGCAATTTCTATCTGGTTTGAATGAGTCATATGACCAAGCTAGGAGACAAATTCTAATGAAAACAAATGCACCTAGTCTAAATCAAGCCTATGCTATGATTATTCAAGATGAGAGTCAACAGAAAATAGGTGTGAATGCTGTAACTTCTGATAAGATAGAGCCCTTAGCTATGCAAGCAGGACGAGGAAGAGGTAGGCGACAATACCTACAATGTGATTTCTGTCATCTCAAGGGGCATACTAAAGAAAATTGTTATAAGATTGTTGGTTACCCTGCTGATTATGCTCCTAGAAGGAGATATGGTGAAGGAACAAGGGCTCAAGGTGAATGGCAACAGAACTCAGGCAATAGTATATCTGGATGGACAAATTCTAATGTTGGTAGGCAAGGCGGAAATGATGGTAATGCTGGTAAACTAGGTGGCTGGAGAAGAGAACCTATGGCTATGATTAACAATGCAGATGTGAGTTCATTTTGTATGCAGGATATGAGTGATGGCCCTTCTGGAGTTGCTGAGCACAAGGGATATCACTACTTTACAAATGACCTGTACAATCAGATTTTAAATATGTTAAACAAGGAGTTACATCCTGAGTCAAGCATAGCAAACATGGCAGGTCCAGGAACAAGTGCAGAAGCAGGTGATGTTAAATTCATGATGAGCAATTTAGCACAAAAATCAAGGAGAAGGAATGGGTTGTAGACTAATGTGCTACTCATCACATCACCTCTGATTTAGAGCTATTATCAGATGTTAAATGCACAAAGAAAACTGATAAAGATAGAGTATATCTTCCAACTGGAGAGCAAGCTGATATTACTCATATTGGTAGTGCAATTCTATTAGACAAGAGAGAGATCAAAGATGTGCTTTATGTTCCTAATTTCAAGTTTAATTACTCTCAGTAGCAAAATTGACAAAGGAGTTAAAGTGTAATGCCAATTTCTTTCCTGATTTCTGTGTATTTCAGGATCTTTGGAATGGAAAGGTGAAGGGGATTGGTAAAGAAAGAGGAGGATAAGCAGAGATTCAAGTGAAATTTGGCATAACAGGCTAGGTCATCCATCTATATCAGTAATGAGATATGTAGTAGGCTTAAACAATAAGAATAATGAGATGTCACATGAAAATTGTTTATGTCCACTAGCAAAGCAGACTAGGTTGAAGTTTCCATTAAGCAAGTCTAGATCAGCAGCAGCATTTCATCTTGTACACATGGACTTATGGGGACCCTATAAGACTACTACATTTGATAAGAAACAGTATTTCCTAACAATTATGGATGATTACTCTAGATATACATGGGTATTCTTTTTGTAGTTAAAATCTGAAGCAATAGTGGCAATAAGACAATTTATTGTCATGGTTCAAAATCAGTTTGGTATTGTGATCAAGGTAATAAGATCAGATAATGGATCTGAATTCTTCAATGCACAATGTTCTGAGCTGTTAATAGGTCTTGGCATAATTCATCAAAGTAGCTGCCCACACTCCACAGAAGAATGGCATAGTGGAGAGAAGGCACAGATATATACTTGACACTGCAAGGGCTTTGAAGTTTCAGGGCTCAATTCCAATTAGATACTGGGGAATGTGTGTTAAGACAGTAGTATACTTGATCAACAAGTTGCCATCAAGTGTTCTGGTGGGCAAAACTTGTACCACAAGAATGCTGATATTGCACATCTAAGGACTATAAGTTATTTGTGCTATGCAACAAATCTAGTCAAGACAGATAAATTTGCATAGAGAGCCAAGGCAGCCATT